TATCTGGTTATGGGGATATAAACTATAACAATTGACTAAATTTTGAAGCGTCGAAAATTGGAGCCCCTTTAATGGACCAGGGAAAGTTTCTTTTAACGAATTTCTTGTTTGAAAGACTTGACTATTATAATAGATGATACGCGTATGTATTATACGTAAAAGTAAAGTTAGATGACCTCGAATTTACCTTTGCAATTCTTTTCTCAATGTACCATAAATCTTAGAAAATGTTCCCAAATTTGTCCCATTTTGAGATATTTAAATTTAGAGTATACTCTATGCAATATGTTTCGTTAAATCGTTTTAAAGATTTCTCTGGCATTAGTAAGGTTGATATGTTTGTAAAAATTTAATATAAAACGAAGAAATTTATCTAAATCGTCGATGCAGTCTTGCCTAACAATATTTTCGAAATTATACCTTGACAAAGCTCAGTTTTAGAGCCATTGGTTCAATAATTCTTTTAAAAGTAAAAAGTCATTCCAAAAATGTTTTTCAAATCAACAACCCATCGGATTCGATGATTTAACAGCGTAAATATTGTAAAAAATTGAAAAACAATCATTCTTTACAGAAATCTGCTTAAAAATTATGTTTCTATCATTGACGTTAGATTAGCCATTTTGTAATTTTGCATTCTCCATAAAATATTCATACTTAGCAACTCTAAAAATATAAGTATACCAATTTTTATAAAAATCCTATGAGATTACGAATTTTGGCCGGAATTTTTCGTTAAAGGACACCACTGGCCGAACGGCGAACGGTTTCCACGCCACTGAGAAACGTCCTCCCCTCCGGCTCTCCACCCCAAGAGTCACGCTCAATGGCAAACTAAATCTCAAGGTTTAAGGCGAGATACATGCGGCTTCCCCCGGACCAACGGCAGTAAATTTCCCGACTTCGATACGCGTTTTTCCTTTATTCCCGCGCCGCGGACCGTGCGAGGGTGCATCGAACCTGAAAACGAACGGGACGAAACCGGGATGAGTGGCGGAGGTGCCTAAGCAGGATCAGAAAGAACGAGGGAAGGAAAAGAGGCGGGAAAGCTGACGTCACCCTCCGAGTCCCGGGATTTTATTTTTAATTCCGAACGAGGATCGAGCCCGAGCACGCGCGGTACAATTGTTTTCGCGAAACAACGGAAGAAACGGTCCCCGGATGTTTTTATCCGGCGTTCCTCGACGTCTCGCGGATTTCGTTTACACGATTCCCGTGAATTCTTGCCGCGAAGACCGGAATTCGAGGGGGAATTCGGTCGGAGTGAAACGGAGAATGCGCTCTAACCGGGGATTCCAGTGTTCTCTAGCGGCGGAAGATTATTTATTCCATTATGCGAGGATATCGTTGAAAAATACGCTGGAGACACGCCGCGGAGTGTTCCGCGGAACTAGGAGACCGAACGCGCAGTTATTTTCGACGTAAACGGCGACGTTTCACGCGATCCCCTCTTCCCTCGCAATCTTTATCTCCTTCATCCCTCTTTCATCCGCTTTGTATGGATAATAAATGGAAAACAGCGAAACGAGGGGGGGG